AGCAACATCTCGTCGTCGACCAATGAAAAATTTCTGTGCAAATGTAACGGGACTTGCCTTCGACGGATTTCCCGGCGTCTCCCATTTACAGAGGTATTACTCTTCGTAGTCACCTGATCGATATTTCCATATTCAGAAATGTCTGTATGCTCCCGGCTTAACTCGTCCCAACTTTAAAACATCGCCTTTTGCGTGTCGCTTCGCCAGATTCTCTTAATCCTTAAATTTATATTCAACTACGCACGGGGACGGGCGTCGGTTCGGCTGCCCGCAGGGAATCTGCGAGAAGCGCTGCTGCGTCAGAGAATGCAGACCAATAAGGAATAAATTCTCGATATTCCCGCATTTCGTGATCGGCATATTCCTCCTCGTTCGCTGCTTACACGCCGGAACAGGTTCAGCAGTGACACGTGTCGCGCTTTTATCACGGCTGATTCGGCAGGCAACGATACGATCTACGCGCACTTGCGTAAACATTCTAACGAGATGACGAAGAGGGGAGACGAAGCGATAAAGACACGTCGTAACACTTTTTCTTTCCTTTCGCGGCAAGCTAAACCTTCGAGTTATCGACTTTGTGAGAGCGACAAAGCAGTTCGTCCAAATTTTAAACAATACGCTGCGAATTTTATGCAGAAATTTATGTTTGAAATACAGCTTCTGGATTTATATAAATTATTTTTATTGAAAGTGATACACACACTTAAGTCCATTTTAAGAAATTCCATTTTTAACGCATGACTCTTACATTATTTTCGGGGTAAATAATTCGCGATTCATTCTCAGCGCTCACTTGTCGACAATCTTTAAAGAGAGAAACGTCCGAAAAACACATTACGTTATCCTTATTTACTCAACTGCTCATCTATCAATAATTCGACCGACTGTAACGATATAATATTTTCCAGTCAATATTTGTTCGCGATTTTGCGGATTGATATAGAGAAGCGGCAATGCATCATGGAAATACCGAGTCAATATTATCAGATTATTGCGATACTGATCCGACATATACACTGCACGTCATCGTCGTCGTCTTCGATAGTGTCTTTTATTACCTTTATATCGGCATTGAGCTCGTCTCAAACAATATAAATATCCGCCCCTCGAGCGTAACTCGTGCACGGAGGTATAGCGAGCGCATCGTCGTCGGAAATGGACGATTCGCACGCAGATCGAAGCGGATCAAAATCACGATGAGCCGGACAGGTCGCGGGCGAATTGGTAGAGTCACTGTTTTATCCATTTTGTGGAGTGTTCATCGGTGCATCGACTTGATCGTGTTTACGGTATTGCTCGGCACTCTTTCTCTATGATACGTCAAAACAAACATTCGATTCAGTCCATGTCGAATTGCAATCGATCCGGTTTTGACTCTGCAAACCGCTGCTATCGATTTTAATTATAGGGCGTTATTTCTCTCAATAGAATCTACGAGACTATAGATATAAAAGTTTCGCATTATATAAAATTTCGAATAAATTTGTAACTTTTTAAATTCTCGAATTTTTTATCATGTTATGCAAAATATTTAGTAATATTTAATAACACGGCAAATGAAATAGCAATACATTGATAATGTTTTCTTCAACTTTTATTCAGATAAATTATAATATTATTAACTTGCACACACACAATAAGGTCACAAATTGACTTTGCCGCAATATAGTTAAGGTTTAATTGCATGAAATTACGTTAAAGAGTGAAACATATGAATTTAATAAATAAAATTAAAGGCACAATAAACATTGATTGCCTATTAATTAAACGTTATTTGATATTGAATATTCAAGTAACGGTTTATAGTTGAGACAAAGCAGCTCGTGATTTTATAATGTGGCTCTAAGGTTTATCGAAATACCAGACCCTTGAATGATCTTTTACAAAGTCCTGATGGGAGCCCGTTATTACGTTATATTATTAACTTAACCCTCCCATAAAGCTTTCCCTGCGTCAATGGATTTTCGCCGAACAATTATTATTATCGGTTATCCATATCGTGTTTTGTGTACAGATGCATATTATATTCACCTGCCGCAATATTCCGCGATATTCTATTCCAGGCTGATACGCATGTAACGTATCAATTGTTCGCTACAGAAGTTAGCTTCAGAATTAGCAATTGCCTACGGTCAATCGCGTGTGTGTTTTAACCCTCAATTATTATGATAGCGCCGAAATTGATTCGTGCGTAGATATTTTGTCACTATCGGAAACACTTTTTAACTTATGTTTTTTTCCGGTTTCACCCTCATTTCGTGCGTCTGACCTACTTTTTTCCGTTCATCATAAAGGAAAGTTATTAAAAGCGGGTGATATATATAAAGTACAACGCCATTTTACTCATCGCGGCCAGTTTGATTTCGATAGATAGATAGTAATGCTTTCTTTCAATCATAACAGTTGAGGATTGATTGATTGCATAATTATAAATAAGTATAATTGTAGATATCACAGAATTATAAATGTATTCTGCAAAATTGGAGATATTTTTTTGTTTGAAGTGATAAATATCTCGTAAACTATGTGCACTATATCCGACATTGGATCTAATAGAATATTCCGCGCTTAGGATAACCGTAATGACTACAGACACAAGTGGGATTTGGTGCTCAGATATTTATCGTGTGATTCACATTTATATATATATATATATATAAATATATATAATGGGGGAAAACAACGTGTTATGAGAAAGGATCCAAGTCTATCATTCATTTATATAGAATGCCCCAAAAACCAGATATTTCTTTCCAGATAAAAAATGTTTGAATAATTAATGATTAAGAATATAGAATTCTTTGCGAATTAAGTTTCAGAATAGACAACAGATAATTTAATTAATTAATTAATTAATTAATTTCAAGTAAACTTTCAATAAAATTTTAATTTGAAAGATTCAGAAAAATATAGCAGTGAGTGATAAATTTTCCTCGATAATTTCGCTATAAAAGAAAATTGATGTGAAAAAATTGATTTGATTGAAAATCAAAGAAATAATTATCAAGAGGACATCCGATAGTTTTGGGACGCTCTGTGATATAATACTCGCATAATGCACGGAGATATCCTTATGAATTTTAACAGACGGTATACATAGATAGATCTTATGAGTTTTAACGGAAGTAGGAATCGTGGTAGGCGACCAGATCGTTCTTTTTCCGCTGCGAAAGAAGGAGAAATCCGATACGGCGTAACGTAATCTCGCGCTTGCCTAACTTCGTTTCCTCGATTGTCCGGAACTTCCGACAACTGCAACCGCACCTGTCGAAGCGGAGGTCCTTATTTCTTCACCAACGCGAAACACGATGCGATACCACTACTGTATAGGTGCAATGATCTCGTACTACCATAATTGACCAAATCATTCGTGCGACACGATCCTATGGAATGTAATGTATCCCGTAACAAAGCGAGAATTTTCTCAATTGCTTCGCTCGTGATTTTTTTACTTTAAACTTAACAACGCATCTTTTCAAATGTATTTTTATATTTTTGACTGTACATTTTCCACATCTTAAGATTGACATAACTAATATTTATATTCTTATAATCGTCTGCTTTATAAATGTTTTATATAATTACATTATATTGCGAAAAATATACGTTTGCGTATTATATTATTATACTTTTATAACACAAATTTTATACTGTTTTGTTAATTGTGCTGCATTTCGAATTAAAACATATAAAATGCCACGATATTCGACTGTATAAATGGAATATTTTTACTTTGATTTTGAATAATTTTTGAGAAACATGAGTGAGCTTTTCGACCTCGTTCAGGTTTAATAAAACTGACCGGATATAGATAACCATATTTCTAATATAAAGCTAGTTTATGATCGTTACTATAGTTCGAAAATATTTTCCATGAAGACTCTATTACTAACTTTGCCCGAGTTTAACTTGTCGGATAACGGCATAATCGATAACACCTTAAGATCTAAAAACTCCATGTACATCCAACATTGTGATTTAGGAGGATACTTTCCAGATAATATCTTTCGAACAAGATTTATTAGAAATTTGTTTTATTTAGAAATGATTTTTGTTATTTTACTTGCATTAAATTATAAAAATTTTTAGGCAGCATTTTTTAGTTACCACATAATTTAATTAAAAAATTTTCTAAAAATTGTAACGATTATAACTAGCAAGGTAAAAAAGAATACGCGGAAAGAAAAACGCTAAACTTTTCTTTATTCATGTAATTATTTTGAGATGTAAAACTGGGAATAATAAGGATAGTAAATTAAAAGGAATATTTAAATATACTTGTCGCATAAATCTTAAAAAATGTCTCTCATATCGCGACAAAGTTTCACGCACTTAATTACAAAGATCTTATCAGCAAATGAAACGGTTGCCGTCAATAAAAGAGAACAGCAAGTCTCGACAAAAAAAAAGAATAAAACTTTACGCGCACATTATCCGTCGCGCTAATCTGAGTCCCTAAAATTATTTTTTTATTTCCTAAATAGCAGACAATTAATAAAAAAAAAAACAACATAAAACTGTTTCACGCAACATTGCAATTCAGCGCGCAAACTTAAAGATTACTCCGGTAAATCTGAGGAAACGAAAAGCTTTACAACTAGCACATTACTGGCGGCTCTAAGGTCGGCCCGTAAATCGTTCCCGCTATTCCGACAACCGTAAACGACACGAAGCGCGTTTCACGCGATATCTTCCAGTTCGGCGCGCAAACTGAACAGCAGAAAACTTTGCCGGCGCGTACCACGAGACCTCACCGCGGGCACTAGATGTACGGGAGATAAAATCGCGGCGATGAAGTAGAAGTAGTACGCGAAGTGGAGAAATGGAAAAAGAAATAAGAAAAGAGGGGAACTAGTGAGGTGGAGCGAGAAGAGACAAAGAGAGATAAGAATCGCCGGAGACATCACAAGAGACAAAAAGAGAAAAGGTGAAGTAGAGGAGAAAAGAGAAAGTGATGGCAGGAATGAGCGAGAGATCAGCGAGTCTGCAAATTTACTCACGATTGTGTGGTACGTTTTGGCGGTGCGGCAGGACTGTCGCCGTCGAGGGTGGAAAAGCACGTCGGATCCCCCGCGAAAGAGGCTCACTCCTATCCCGGTCCTCATCGCGCAGACGTGCTTTCCATCCCCTCTGCGTTTACGTGTACACACTGGCTGGTGAGCAGCGAGCGACGGGGCGAGCATGGACGGAAAGGGGGGTAGGAAGGAGGACGGTCGGAGGCCGGTGAAGGGATGGGGCTCTTCTCCGGACTGATAGGGGGACGCATCGACTGGGAAAATACGGTGAGATCGTCTTGCAGCGGCACGAAACACGAATAAATGTTTTGCGTGTGTGAATAAATGTTCCTTCCGACCGTAGTAGCTTTTAATTTACATTTGACAGAATTTCGGACGAAAGTTTATTCCAGATAATAAAGTTTCCAACTAAATTGCAAGTTAGAAATACATTGGTGTCTTATAACGAAAAGTAAAACACTGAAAATAGAAAGGAAGCACCAAAATAAAAGAAAAGTAATTTGGAGAATTGTAATTTCACTTAAAACTTCCAGCTAAACTGTAATGCGAATTTTTCACAATTTTTGCTGAATAATTAACTATAATATAATATTTCTGATAGAGAATACGACTTAACAAGGGAACTATTTAAACGCGTGCTTGTTTCTAACAATAAATTTTGTTGACTAAAAACAATCAGACATAGATATATATTCGCCATGATTTTTATCCATTAAAAAATATAAACGCGTTGATACACGAATACAGACAGCGTTTTATCATGTGCCTTCTACGTCACAAATCCGTGTGAGCGTGACACTCGCAGTGTTAAAGATTGTATCACAAATTCGCTGCAATCCACCAAGCCTATTTTATTTAATACCTCCGTAGAAAATGTTTCATACTCAGCTATCTCGATTTATGCATCATATTTCAATGCTCTCTTGTATAGTTAGCTGCGTATAGCGAAAAACGCATTTATTTAATTTCTCGCATATCAAGATGGGAAATCCGACAATAAAGAGTTAATATCACGTAAAATAAGCAAATATTTGATCATTAATTGTGCAATATTGCATTCGTTGAACGATATTACATTTGCTGTCTACGCCTACATTGCCTGCACATGATATTTCGCGTAAAATATGCGATATGTTACATCGACAATTAATGGTACGACTCGGTGCTTGTATTTAGAATTGCTTTTTTCATTTGTTTCAGCGCGCGGAGTTGTTAAATGATTACGAAATTATTGTGCAAACAATAATTATGAAATAATTCTTGACATAATTATTTAAATAATACAATATATTTATATTACTAGATACACACAAGCGCGCTATTTATTCTTTTGATTGCAAAAACTCAAAAGTAATAAAAAAGATATTTGCAGTAACCTTCTCGAAATATGAACTGCAAAAGTATGCAACTTTCACAATGACAATTGCTCGATAGCACGAAGTAACGCATAATGCGTATCGAGAAAATTAGTATCGCGGAAAAGAGGTAATAATAAATATGAGTATCAACTTTTGACATGTTTTTTTTTAGAGATTATTCCCACTATACTTCGAATGAAGGCAATCAAAAATGTCAAAAGAAACTTTGACTTCAATTTTAACGACTTTTTTTTATGAGTTCGATGAAGTCGATTAAGGAAAACTGATCGAAGAAGAGATTTGTTGTAACTTTTTGATCAAGATTATACATCTTGGTAATCGAACCTCGCGTTAAAATTCTAAGAAGGTAAAATCTGTCTAAACTTCGATGGTAAAGTTTTACTCTCCTTATATTCCCACATTCTAATTAAAGAAAAAATTACTTTCGTCCTGATCAAAGAAACCGTATAAAATTGAGATTCGGAGGTTTCGGGCCGACCGAAAAAGATTTATTTTAGTTGATGTGTAACATCGAAGTTTTCATTTCTAGATCAACGTGATATAACATCGGGGTGGGCGAAAAAGAGGGATGCCGCCTCCATAAAGGGGGGTTGCGTGAGCTTTATTATGAAATAGCTTTGAGACGAAATTCTTAATTGCTCGGTAGCTTGAGACGATAAAGGAGCGTGGAGCGCGGAGCGAGCTCATCAGGTAACTGTTTTCCGTCAAGGAAGCGAATCCTGTAACAGTAGAATTTCCCGAGATACCTCTTTCAAAATTGCGGCTAATTCTCGCCTTTACGGTACGCCAAAATCTTAATTGCGCCAAGGCGTCCTATCCGCAATGCCCCCTGCCCTCACCCCTCTACCGTAATATGATTTAAGAGACGCCGAGGAATGTCGGAAGCGTCATTTTTCAACTTTGATGGGATTAATAAACTTTGTTATTCACTCGACAAGATACTTCATGAAGTAGCTATTGTGCATTCGCTAACGTACACGTGGTATACATGTAAATTTATAATTACATTAGTTATATGTTGTCACTGTTTTTGCATTTGTAACGCGGCTATCGCGTTACTTGAAACGTCGTATTCTATTGACAAAGTGGCTATTTAATGAAACAAGAAAGTATCGTAAAAAGTTGTAACCAATACATTCTGCCGTACGCGGGCTGGTAGACGCGATACTGTAATTTACAGGGAGACAAAATAGACCGTTTTCTCAGCCATTTCCCATAGGAGAAGTTGAAGGATTGTATACAAGGAAAGAAAATAATGACGAGTATTATTCAACGAGATGCCTGCACCCCAAAGAGCTGCCTCAAAACTGGCTCTTCGATAACCACAAATTGCGCTCTCGATCTTCGGACGTCAGAGAAACGATAAGAGGCCTTGTGTTACCGATGATTACATATATCACATTCTTACGCTGTTAATTGCTCGGAAAGATTCGTATTCGTTGGCAAAAACATCATCTCTTCCTCTAATTGCCACATTGATAATCGAAACGTAGAAATACTGGCAATATAAGAAGCATTGAAAAATAGAGCTACAATTATAATTTTTTGTCATAGCACGACGAAAAAAAGCAGAATTGAATCTATTGCAATTCAGGTACGATCTTACGATAAATAATTAGACATTTTGTCAAACGTGTTGGCTTTAATAATATGTGTACGATAATATTTACGTTGATATTCCGCGAGCGTGTACAAACTTCTTTATCGTACGCTGTTTAACTGAAATGTTCATTAAAATATCTCGCCGTTCCAAAAAGGTCGACAAGAAATTAAATTATCTGAGAAAATGATACGTCGGAGAGTCGTAGCGTCTTTTTAAAAATACGTATCTCGTCTTGAGATAATTTGTCTTAGGAAGGAAGATGCGATATCAAGACAGGACTGTTGTCTCGATTAAGTGCCTGATGACGTCCTGCAGAGGGAATCGTCGTTGTTTATCGATGGTATTCCCAGAGGAATACCTACCTACGCTTCCATTTGCGAGAGATGCTGTCTCTGCAGGTGTAGCATCTTAAACAATTAATACTGTCTGCAAACTGCGTAAATATTTCTATAAATTAATTATTATCTAAAATCAAGAATATCCTCCAAGAAGCGTACACTATGTAATTGTATTTTTTATGCGATGTTTGTATAAGTTATTAAATTCTAAATATATATATATATATATTGCAATTCTGCAGAATAAATTCTGAATTTAATAAGATGCTAATTTAATGCATTATAATAAACATATTGTGCTATTTTTATTATTTAATTGTGTACGATTGAGTGCTTTTCTGGATAAACGCGAAGAAATGAAGTTACTGCGAAGTGTACGATCGAATTAACTTTAGCGTCGCGGAACCGTGGCGTTAAATCTTTTGTTCTTTGCACAAGGCACAGCGTAAATATTTGCTCATTTGCCAAATATACGGCGGTGCGAATAGCAGCTCTCCAATGCGATTTCGTTTGCATAGACTGCGCGCGGTATGAGCGATGAATCAAACTTTAGTACCATACTAAAAGACACTAAAATGTTATAAGCCGGCATGCTACGCTGTGTAATGGATGAGCTAAGTCCATAAACCGGAGCGTATACTAGCAGCGCATCTAGACGCCAAAAAAGGAAAAAGACGCGACAAGGTTAAAGGAGGTGAATTTACACGGTAAACTCTTGGTCAACCAAAGCAAAAGAAAAGCGACTTGTGTGTACCATAAAGCTGGTCATGTGCGTTGAACGATGAAAGAAGCAGCTATTTCCTCTTTTCTACCGTGGATCAAGATTCGAAGCTTCCTCCTCTTTTAATAAAAAGCTTTTCAATATCGAGGCATTCTATCTCTCTCAATTCTAGTCCTCTCCGAATCATAAATCATGAAAATCTGCGTTTTGCAAAAATATAAATCAATAATGGAATTTTATTTTTATAAAAATAAAGATAAAACAAGAGTTTTATTTTACTTGACAGAATTTTAATATAATATTTAGTTAGAAGGATTATTTTAAAGGCAATTTTCACTAAAGAGAAACCAATTCAAATTTGTCGGGAGATGGATTCGTTGAAGAATATCGTACAATGCAGAGATTGTAAAACAAAAACTGACTTAAAGGGTTCTTTTTATTACGGAAAATTCATAACGTGTTTTTCCAGGCGATTATCGGTACTCATTAGATGATAACGTATCAATTATACGTCGCATTCCTCGTATACGGCCTATTTTTTCGAAAGAATCGTCTAATTAAAAAGTTGCGACGGCGAGGTTCGTCCGCTCATGAATCTTTCATATTCGCGCAAAACCTGCTCGTCCATTACGACGCCGGTGACATCCCACCTGCTCCCGAAAGAACGAGGAAGAACGAGAAAGGCGAAGCCTGGGGCCAGCTGGCGAGTAAGGTGAGAGGAAAAGCATGGCCGATTGAAATACGGCCTCTTCTTTAGACTCGGCTTCAGACATTTTCGCTCTGAAACATACAGATCAGGTGTAAAAAGGTTGTAAAAAGAATTGCATCATATATAAATGCATATAAATGTATTTTTTTTCTGAGATCCAAGTCTGAATTGATAATCACATTTTCTGAGGGCAAAATTTGAATTTAACGAACAAAAAGATCGATTCCAACTTGTTCAGAGGAGGGCGTT